TCAGACGTGTGCTCTTCCGATCTCCCCAAAACCCCAAAACCCCAAAACCCCACTATGAAAAATAACAGCTTCTAATTGATCAATTTAAGTATATAATTTAATAAGGTTTTAATACTTTATAATTAATGGAAAGCAATACCTGTGAATTATAAAATTTAGACTTATATAAAGATTTTACTGAGGAGATGAAGCAGTCTTTAACTTTAGCAAGTAAAATGGCTTAGAATTCAGTTAAGCAAACACCAAGAGAGCTATTTGCTATAGCCCCAATGGTAGACATTAGTGATAGATTTTTCAGATATTTTATGAGGTATCTTACTCCTAATGCATTCCTTTATACTGAAATGCTGAATGAGCACGCTATTATTCATAAAAAAGACAGATATTCTCTTCTTTCTTTTTCAGATAATTAGCATCCAGTAGTGTGCTAGATAGGTGGAAACAACCCTGAGAAGATGGCAACAGCCGCTAAGATCGTAGAAGAATATGGTTATGATGAAGTAAATATCAATTGTGGCTGTCCTAGTAGTAAGACAAGAGATGGATGCTTTGGAGCAGTTCTTATGTTTGATGCTAAACTTGTAGCAGAAATGACTCGAACTATGATGAAAGCTGTGAACATACCTGTGACTGTGAAGTGCAGACTAGGTGTAGATAACTTGGATAAATACGAAGATGTGCATAACTTTATTAGAATAGTTAGCCATGAAGGAGGTGTTTAAAAGTTTATAATTCATGCCAGGAAGTGCCTTTTAAACGGGTTAAGTCCGCATGAAAATAGGACAGTGCCAGAGCTAAAATATGATTGGGTATTTAGATTGAAATAAGATTTTCCTGATTTGAGATTTGTGATTAACGGAGGATTCACTGATCCAGCAAAGATTTCTGACATCCTAAATGAAGATAATGGATTAGAAGGGTGTATGGTTGGAAGACTAGCTTATAACTTCCCATGGAATCTTGCCGCGATTGATAGATAACTTTTCAAGCATGATAAAGATACTTTGACAAGAGAACAGATAATATTATCCTATGCAGAATTCGCTTAGAAGGAGCAAGAAACAGGATTAGATCGAGGAGAGAGGATACCAAATTCACTCTTAGTAAAACCTGTGATAAACATATTTAGTGGAGAATATGAAGGTGGCAAGTTTAGGAAATTCTTAAGTGAATTAGCAATTGATAAAGGATATAAAGGGCAGGTTGAAAGAGTATTGAGAGAAAGCATAGAATACTATAAAAATATAAACCCAGAGGGGGTTCAGACAAAGAATGGAGAAAAGATAATAAGACCTATTTGGCAATTGCAGGGCTACGCAAAACATAAGTAAGCAATCATCGATAATCAAGAATGATATAGCATCAATTCTTTATCGTATAATTAAATCTTAATTTGATTAATCTGCAATATCATAGTTGTGAACTAATCTTCACATTGCGGGGTTTTGGGGTTTTGGGGTTTTGGGG